AGGGGCCAGGGAGCCGCCGTTCTCAGGGCTGGGAGGGAGTGGGGACCGTTCCTGTGCTCTGAGCCCCGACTTCCCTGTCCCCCAGGAGTACTGCAGCCAGCGATGGGAGGTGCTGACCCAACGCTTCCGTGGTGGCCTCTACTCAGCGCACGCCGACCAGCACCGGCTGAAGTAAGCAGCTTTGCTGGGGGGTCCCATGGCTGGACCTCCTCGGGGGGCTTTTGCTGGGGTGAGGGACCGTGGTGCGGGGGGTAGCGTCGGGCTGATGCTCTCGCGTGCCGTGCCTGCAGGTATCAGTGCTTCAAATCAGCCTGGATGTACCAAGTCCTTCACCAGGGCTTCCACTTCCCCCTGGACTACCCCAGCCTGCGCACGGCCCAGCTGGTGTACGACCGGGAGGTGCAGTGGACGCTGGGAGCCATCCTCTACAAGACGCGGTTTCTGCCACTCAGGTACCATTGGCTCGCTGATGGCATCACTCAGGGAAGGGTGGCTGGGGAGGAGCAGGAGTTACCGCACTGGGCGAGGGCTCTGCTGCCCCAGCAAGGGGAGCAGCAGTGCAGGACCCTGGTAGTACCCCATGGCATCTCACAGCCAGTTCTGACTCCTCTCCGCAGGGATCTCCGGCAGGAGAGCATCCGGCAAGCACATGCCTCCTGGCTGCGCCTCTCTTTTGTCTACAACCACTATCTCTTCTTTGCCTGCATCCTGGTCGTAGCGCTGGCCATAGTCCTCTACCTCCTGCGGCTGCGCCGCATCCACCGCCGGCAGCTGCGCTCGGCCCAGCTCACCCTGCTCTGGCTGGACAAGGTGGTCGTGCCGCCGGGCCAGGGAAACGGGCCATGACACTGGTGGTAAGCACCGTCCAGTTGTACCAGCAGAACCAGGACTGGTTGACAGCCTGGGCTCCGAGGGCTTGGACTCTTTTCTTAAAGACCATCTCAACTGCACTCCATCATCTCCACATCAAACCAGAGCCTGTGGGCTGAGGCAGCTACGGCCACCGGAGCTTTCTTCTCCACCTCGCCCAGTCCTAATCTTTGCATTCCTTGGCCTCCGGCCTTTGTCTCCCTAGGCGGTGTAGAGCAAAGTCCTCTGCTGCCGGCGGGCTCAAGGCTGCAGCCCTGGCAGATCCCTCAGATAAGCAGTACACTGTCACCAAGGCGGCCGACCCACGGCTGTGGCCTGAAGCACCAGGCCACCCCATGACTCAGTCACCGGTTTGCAGAGCAATCTGGTGAGGTGCTACAGCTCATTACCTGGGGTGGCCTTTCTGCAGTCCCTCACAAGCCCACGGGCTGGAGAACAGCAGTCGCCAGCAAAGTCACTACAGGAACCAAGTGAGCCACGAGCTCCACCGAGCTGCTCTGCGCAGCCCAGCCCCTCTCAGAGCATTCCTAAAGAGGTATCCTGCTCTTTGCCATGTCTTCCCTTCCCAGGACAATCCTCCCACGGTCCTAGCCAGCGCCCCAGGCTCAGCACCAAGGGCTCAGGGATTGGTTCCTAAGGCACCACCAAAGTGGGCTGTGCTTCCTTTCACACATTCCCTACTGGGGATTCCCTCCATTCCCATTCCTGCCCCGTGGTGTCCCACACGTTAATCAGGCACTAGCACTAGGACCAGTGGTTCTCTCCCGTGGGCGCAGGCTGGGCCTGCCCACAGGCAAACCACCTCACTCCAGCCCAGCTCACTCCCCCGGAGCAGGTCTGAGCTGTGGCTGTGCGCACAGGCACAAGCCTTCCTCCCCTGGGGCTGGAGCCCCCCAACGACCCAATGAAGTTTGTCACTTTTTACTTGAACTCAGCTGTTCCCATTCCTGTAGCAATAAATAAACACCTTGAGCCGTCCAGCACTGGTCTTGTTTTCTAGCGAGCACTTTCCCAGCAGCGATGGCTCCTGGCTGATGCCATGACTTGGCCAGCATTGCTCTGTGCCACTGCAGTGGGATGACGGGGTTGCTTTCTTGCCAGCAGATGTTCTCTGCGATTCCAGCAGAAGGACACCTGAGCTCAACTCCTGAGCAGCAAGGGAAGCTCTGATCCAAACTGAACTGTTGTGATCCTTGGAGACAGCATCCTTTGCTGCCTGCCTCTCTCCTAAGACAAGGAAGTTGAGCCTGCCCACTCAGCCCCTGGAAGATGTTGCTCCCTGCTTTTTACCTTATTGCCCACCACAACCTGGGAAAGAGGCCATTAAACTTCTCCAGCTGCTGCACAGCCATGGGGATTGCTCCAGCACAGCTGCCTACCACCAGAGAGGCCGGGCAGGTACCCGATTCTCCTTCTAGCACATGCTGTTGCCTACCTGTGACCCTGGTCCCACAGGACAACTGCACAGGTGGCATCAAAGATAAAACTTTCCATGCACCAGAACTTTTTATGCTGCCAACCTCCTGCTCAACAGCTGAGGATCCCAGCCTTGTTCTCACGGTGCAAGAGCAGGGTTAGGGGGAAGGGAAGAAGTCTGAATAAAGCCAAGACTGTTCCTCAGCCTCAAAGCAGCAAGTGACTGCCTCCAGCATCACTTACTAGAAAAAGGATTTATTTCCACAAAGGATTTATTTCCACAACACAAATTTAACAAACACAGACAAATAAATAAATACAGATAAATTATCTGATAAATAAGGGGAAATCTGAACCACAATGGCCTACTCAGTTCTTCTTTGAACCTGGACACAAGTTGGGGGGGTGGTGGTAACTAGACACTATAGCACCCTCCCTCCTGAGGCGGGAGGAGACACAGCACCCCTTTGATCCCTCCAGCAGGCTGCCAAGCAGCAGAACCCCCTGCCCTGCATCCCAGTACCTCCCTCATCACACCCAAGGGCGTCCGCATGCTCCTCCAGGGTCAGCCCTCCCTTCTCACACCCACAGCCAGAATCTGTCTTAGCAAGGACCACCCTCACCACAGGGGCTCCTGCCTTCTCACGCAGAGGGCCAGCCAGTGTCTGGAATGACCAGGGATATGGTAACTAGTTGGGCAGCTTGGGCTATGAGCAGGGGTTTCACTCGGGGGGCTAGGGCTGAGCGCCTGGAGGGAGCAGGGCAAACACTGCAGGGACAGGATCCGCTGGCACTACACACAGATCTCTCTCAGGACGGTGCTCAGTGTCAGCGACTGCAGCACTCTGCCAGCTGAGGGGATCTCTCCCTGGTAGCGTGGCTGCTCCCAGGACCGGGCTTACCAGGCCCTGGTCCCAGGCAGGGGTGCTGCCTGCCATGCTCAGGGGCCCAGCCATCATCGGTCCAGGTTGCAGTGCTCAGGGTGCGCTGGGGCAGCGGGTCCAGCCTCTGTCCCAGCACCTCTGGGGACTGCCTGGTACAGGAGGGTAGAGGCTGGAACAGCAGCAAGAGCTGAAGGAGGGAGAAAGGAGAAGTTAGCACCTAAGTGCACTCACGAGGGAGCCCCCACAAATCTAGAGAACCACAGGCTCAGGGGGAAGTGTTTGGTTTGCTCAGGCCCAGCGCAGAGCCAGCAGCCCCACACTGAGACCAGCCCCCCCCAGCCACAATGCACAGAAGCCAAAGCGTTTCCCACCCAGCACGGACCAGGCTGCAGCTCCCTCCCCAGCCAGACACAGGCAGACAAGTGGGGACACCTCTGCCACCCAGCCCTCTGCCCACTCACGGTGACAATTTTGGTGGGGG